AGAGGAACTTCAGTTTGTTATCTCTGTAACACTGGCTTTGGTTTCTGTGGCAAAGATACTCAGGCATTTTGGTGGTCTAATTAGAGGAAAAGAGTAGTGAAAACCTCTGGTTAATGAAAAATAGTATATTCTCTGCAGTGCAGAATTGGTCATTCACTTTTCATTACATGTCTCAGTTTGCACTTGAGAAATCTTAAGAAAATCCAAAGCAGCAAACAACTTCCATGCATCATCTCCTGCCAGCTGTACTGTGCTGGAGAGCCAAACTAAGGCTATTGAGTGGCTGACAAGTTGTGCAATTTATCTGTAGGACAGACACTGAATGCTCCACCTCAATGCCAAATGGTAGCTCTGCTTTTTTCTGGCTGCCAGTTTTTGTTGCATTAATGCACCAAGAGGGAAAAATTACTTTTGCTCTATTATCTTTACTTTCCTTGAATCTTTCTTCTCCCTGTAAAGTGGGAAAGTTTAAAATGCATGCCTTAGGTTTGGAGGAAATGAGGGAAGAGAGAAGGGAAGGATTTTCAGTTGAAGCCAAATAATCATGTGCTGATCACAGGGGGAGTTTGACCCTAGAAAATCCGTGTGTTTGCTTTTATAGCAGTTGGTGTCTCCCACTGCTTGGAGGTGGAGAGCAATCCTGAGGGTGCAGGCCAGCGTGGGGCTCTGGGGAGCTCTGGCTCTCTGGTGCTGGGAAAGTCATTGTGGATGAGCATCCACAGTTTGCTAAACACCTGGTTGCCAAGATACGCTTGGTGCTGCATTGCCACTGAGGTGAGCAGTGTCTGGTCAGTCATTGCTCAACCATAAGCAATGTTTGGTCATTCTGTCTGATCTTTGGATCTGCTGGCATGGCCAGGTCCTAATTCTGTTGTTCAAACATGCAGATGAAGGCAAATTGGGAAGGGACATGACCTAGATTCTGCTAGTGGCTGCTGTAAAAATGATTACTATTGCTATGAGAATGATTCAAACGTGAATATTTTGTCTGATATACTGAAAATCCATAGCTCATGTGAATGCCTTCAAAATCCATACTGACTTGGAAGACCTGCAATACATGAATCCATAGCCTCATCTTCTCCCCCAGCTATCACACCAAAACTGCACCAGCACTTCAAGACACCCAGAACCCAAAAGTGGACTGAGTTGGTTGTCAGCCAAACACATATTCCACATGAGTCATTTTTTTGGAGTAGAGCTTTGGAGTAGAGTATCTTCTGCCTGTGAGAAGAGCTCCTCAGTCTTTCCTCTTGTAAGAGTGACAAGGCCAAGAGTTGTTGTGGTATCAAGGCAGTACAGTTGTAATGTGAGAGGTTCTTTGCTCAGAATCAGCAGAACACATGTCTAAGCTGCAATAATCAGATCTTCACCACTGGTGCTGCTTTCAGGAGACAGGGTGGATGTGGCCTGACCTTATGCCTGACTCAGTCTGAATTGGCAGTGGTAACAGAGAAATCATCTTTTCACTTATAAGATAAACAGCAAATTTGATGTGGAGAAAAAACTGGAAAATATTAAATATGGAAACAGACAGTTTTCTAAAATACTTCTTCACAGTTTAAATATATCTGGGTTTGGGGACTTGTTATTATAATTAAAACAAACAAGGAAACATAAAAGGCAGAAAACTATTTGGCTTTCCAATGCATGCTGAGCTGATGGTGGAAAAGGTCCTCAGCCCACAAATCCAGCAGGGAGTATAAATGATTGATGGTAAAAGCTTAGATCATCCACTTTAAGTGTGATTGACAGATAATGTTCCTGGCAAACATCTGGAATTCAGCAAGCTGGGAATGAGAAATGCAAAGTACTGACAAACAAACGGCCATCTGCATTTCTCTGGCTTTTTAATCTTTCTTCAGAGGCAAGGTGAAATATCTAAGGCCTGGAGTTATGTATAAAAAAATGCTTTTGGCTCAGGTTCCTTAAGGCAGCCCTTGGACTTTGCTAACCACCTTCTGACTCAGAAGTATCACCATACCCTTCTTGCTTTCCAACTACAGATGGTTTTGATAAAACACCTACTTAGTCTGCCCCCATTTTTTTTTGGATTCCTTTTCCCACAGGGATTGATTTTACTTTGTGGAGAACATATAGACAAAGGGAGATGGTGTGCAATTCCTTATTATGCATAAGAGGTCAATGTTCTATTGCAGTGGAGGTAGTCCTGGGTGGAATTTTAATTCCTTCTTGCTGTATAGATTTCTACTGCTCCTTCCCCCCCCCCCCCCCCCGCCTCATTTTTCTATAAATGCCAAACAATTTTTTTTAGAATCTGACAACCACATTTGATACTTTTGGTACACATCATTTAGAAAATGGACTTGACAGAAATAAAGCAATGAGGTGCTTGCATGTGCCTTGCTTTGGAAACTGAAGTACAGTGTAGGGTTCATTTTCAGCTAGATCACTGGCTGTTAACTTCAAGAAAGATTTTTAATGAAAGAAAAGAGCACAATTTCTTTTGGGTTTTTTTTTAGTTTGTTTCTTAAAAGCAGGATCTTCTGTGATTTGACTTGAGTTTGTCACTCATGTGTTGGTTTTCTCTGGTTTGGCTCAGCAGGCACCCGGCAGACCCAGCTCCCTCCTGTGCTGCTCTTGCCTCTGACGGGAGGTGGCAGCACACTGCAGCAGGGAGATTTTTTCAGAGGGAAGAGTTACAAATAGTGAAGGGAAACTGTGGTGGCTGCCACAAGTGAAGGACAAAGTCATGTCTTTCTGTGTTATGGAAAAAGCAGAATTAAATTCCAAGAGTAAGACATAACTATCTTCTGTTGTACCTTTTTTCTGAGGTAGGCACAGCAGCACCATGGTGTTTGTGCTTGGATTGTACTAATTATTCATCACATTACTGTGGGGCAGTAACATAATGGTTGTCATTTTAGGGTAGGGAAGCTTGTCTGGAGATGTTAAGCAATACACTTAGAAATGAGTTAGAATTCCTCTCCCTTGTGCTTGGACTACCAGCTCTAACTGTTGCTCATCAGTGATGGCACAATTCAATGCTTGATAGATTCTAGAGCGTTAATTAGAACAGTTGTTTAGCTAATTGCCTGGAAGATTGTGAGTAAAAGCATATTTATTCCAAAGGCAAACAATCCATTTTTACCCAGTGAAGCATATCGGTTTTTATGGTGCGTAAAAATTGTTTAATTTCAGTTTTGAATATATTGTGTGTTTGTCTGAAAGCCTTACAGATGATCTGTTTCAACTGCATGGAAGCTTTTTTTCTTTAGCCATTTTTAATGTATCTGCTAACAAAAACCATACAAATAATTGAAACTGTGAAAAGTCATTGCTATTAAAAAGAAAAGGTGTTTACTGTACTGGTCTGTGGGATTACCACCATTCTTGGTGATATGAAGCTTTTGTACTCTTCCAGATGTTGGCATTGTCCTATGCAAGAGACTAGAGGTGAAAGAAAGGTTATCTTTATGGTGCCTTTGTCTAATTTTGTGAAAAATGTGGTAACAGAACAGGTGGTTTCAGTGTATAGACACATTTAAAATTAAAATAAAGTCCTAAATGGTCAGGATCTAAACTGATCCATGTGATGTGGGTGGTGTAGGTCTTCTGTGGAAGACTGGCAACACATTAGAGTTAATAACAACTTTTTGCAATTCAGGGTCATTTACCATCAAGCTGATAGCTTTTTCCCAAAGAAAAAATGCTTATCATCTAATGGAAGAGATTAGGTAAGGGTGGAAGTACAGCTGAAGGACTGAGATGGAAATTTTGAGTTTGATTTAGAAGTTTTCTTTCTTAGCTCTTTACTCATGATAGTTCTATTGACTTCATATAGGCTTTCAAAAATGATGATTTATTTAGGGAAGGAATCTAAAAGAACCTGGGTGAAGTCAGTAAACTAATACATATTTTGAGGCTTTGGATTTAAGAATTGCTGCAGGCAAGGTATTACTTATAAGACAAGGGACCATTCCTATCACAACTTGATAGATATGAATGTATTTCCATGTCATTGGTCTTAAGAGAGATGGGCAGTGATGATATAGCACAGCAGAACTTTGGGAGGAAAACTAATTTCAAAACAAGGAAAGTATAGCTTTTCATTATCAAGGTAACAAGCGAATATTCCTTTTTTGTTAGCATTATGTATTGGAAAACAGAGGGGAAAAAGACCTTTACTCTTGTAAATGAACTCGTAACTTTCTCCTACACAGTCCATTTGTGCCCAGCCTAAATGGGGTGCAGTCAGTGAAATCCTGACAATTTCAGGATCACTTCTCAGCTGGATTTTGGTTGTACATGCCCTGCACTGTAGTGCCCAGACTGGTGCAAATGCCATCCTTGCAGTATCCCACAACAGGAATTTCACTGCTGCCCCGAGCTCATACAGACATGCACATGGGAAGGGTGTGAGGAAATGGATCCTTTCTTCCTTCCAGTGAGAAACAGCTGAACTTTCATGCCTTGTCATTGTTATGTTTGGTATAACTAATTGTACTCTTCTTGGTTTGGACTCTGTTTAGCTGCAGCCTGTAGCTGCACTGATGTGTGATACAGAATGATTTTATTGACACAACAGTGAGTAAATGTTAGCCAGATAAAGAAAAATCAGCAACACAGATGTAAGAAACAGATCCTTTGTGTGACAGCTAAAAGGAAGAAGGGAAAAACCATTTCCTCTTAATTAATTTCTTTGAAAGGGATCAGAAGAAAACATGAACTGAGAATGAAGCACTTCTCTTGATTTTTAGAAAAAGACCTTTCTTGATATTTAAAGGAGACTTGTCACATAGAACACTTTTAAAGTATGATTTATTCTTATGAAGTTTTGCTAGGCTGTTGTAATTAAGAAAAAAGATAATGGAAAAAAGTTATCAGTTAAATATTTCAAAGTTGTTTTTTTCCCCGACAGTTTTTTTTTCCTGAGTGCAAAAGTAGAAGAAACGACTGCATGAATGAGATGTCTGTTCTTTTATATTTTTGATGGAAATAGTGCTGTTAATGAAAGCAATGCTGTTGATTTTCTGTAGGCAAAGGAGACGTTTTTGGTGATGTGTTCTGGAAGGAGTCGACTCTCGCGCAGTCCTGTGCTAATGTAAGGGCTTTGACTTACTGTGATCTTCATGTGATTAAAAGGGATGCCTTGCAGAAAGTGCTGGAGTTCTACACTGCCTTTTCACACTCCTTCTCCAGAAATCTCATTTTGACCTACAACTTGAGAAAAAGGGTAAGTAGCTGTGATTTTAACATACATCATGTATATAATCTCACTTTTAAGGACTGTCTGCATCAAAAAAACTGAATGGCTTGAATTCTGGAATTTTTTGTGAGTCCTTTTTATAAGATGACTTTTCAGAGCTTGCCTAAGAGGCATATAGAGTCTATATGCCAGCTTGCCTGCTGGCATATAGAGTCAAAAGGCTATGAGTATTTATTCCAGTGCTAGCTTCAGAGGGAGCTAGACTGTGTGTATGTGAAAGTATTATACATTTCCAGGAAGTAAACAAGTTCCAGCATCTATGAAAACTGTCATGCCCTTGTGATAAACAGTGTTCACTACTTAGTGCAACTTCAGTTGTAAAGCAGCAAAAAAGATTTTAGAGGTGTTGCCTGAAATCACAAGGAAAATGACAGGGAAGATACAAAATATAATATATGGAACAAAAGTCAAGTACAGTAGACATGATGGAAAAGTAATATAAACATGACATTCTATCAAGAGTTGTTCCTTTTATTATAAATCACATTTTGGAATTACTTTGCTTATCTATAACATTTCCATTTTCTTATCCTTGATTTTTTGGCTCTTTTCATTCCTTGTTGTGTGCCGTTTAAAGTTATTTTGTCAAATGCAAGTAATCATAATCTAATAGCCCAGTTTAAATCCTCTGTGTAATCTTCAGTGAACAACCTCTGCAGAAATTTATTAAAACTGTAGTGGGTATAAATCAGATGATAGGATTTTATGATGCGAGGTAGAAGACAATAATAATACATTGAAAAGAAATACATTAGAGAACCTGTACTTGCTTTATAGGGGTATTTGAGATCAGCTAAAGAGATATGTTTGATAGGAAACCTTTTTGTTCCTAAAAATGATTCTCCATAGTAATTTCCAGGTGCCAAGTGACTCCTAGATAATTAGACCTGAAAAAAGAGAAATCTTTTAATATTTTAAATCTATTTTATAAAATTACACTTTACAACTAGACATTTTTAAAGATTTTTTTTTAATATATAGAGTTGGCATACAGAAAGTAAAGTCGTGTGATGGTATTTTTTATCTCCATATGTTATCAGTATAAAAGAATTCAGCTTTTTAGTGTTGGATGAAAGAAGAATGTGTGATCCACACTTTGGTGAAATAAATCAGAGCTCTGGTAGAAAATTGATGTGATTAAAAACTAAGAAGCAAATTTATACTTGGGGATTTCCTCCTAAGTAATTTTTTTCAAGTGAAGGTACACAGCTGCAAGCATATTAAGAGAGATGTCCTCTTAATAAACAGCTCCTTACTCGGTCTTAGTTAATGTAAGAAATAAATTAAATGAAAGAATTTGACATTGCTGTCACCTCAAGAATCAGTATCACTGACTGACATATTTTATGATTAACTCCATGGCTAATGTGGTAAGATGCTCTCAGAATATATAATTACTTTTCTCTTTCTTAAAATCTGTAGAAATAGCAAGCTTTGAGGCTTAGAAGGACCAACTTTTTCAAAACTCATAGTAATGTTAGTAGAATTCACATCATTTTGGACCTGATCTGAGCCAAAAGGCCCAGCTTTAGAATCAAATACCTACTCCAGAAGTGCCACTGTCCCTCCATATTTATTGGCATTGCTTTTCCCAGCCCAGGTTATGAAACGTTTTCTAACTGTAGCATCAGAAACTCTGTGCTGTCAATTTTCTACACAAAATGTTCCTAATAAAAATGTACATCTTATGATAGCAATTTCCATCCAGTTATTCAAATAATTGGATTTTAATTGAGTTGCAGTCAGCAGAAAAGTGGCATTGATTGATAATGGAAGTGAGAATTTGATGGTTCTAAGTTAACAGACTGTAACACTATTTTATTAAAAGAAGGCTGATTGCAATCAGAATGCAAATGTTAAATAATGTGAATCATATATGCTCTTGGAAATGCGTGGAAGGTACAATACTTTAGCGATTTGAGGTGATGCACTTTAAAAGGCAACTTTTTAGAATTTGGAATTTATTCTGGTTTAAATATCCGTGATTTGGTTTTTTATAGAAATAGCTCCCCAGCCTGTCGCTTCTAACACTTCTCTGGTCTATTTCTACAAATGGAATTTTGTAGAATTAAGATGAACTGCTACCTTCTGTTGGTTACATTTGTGATGTATTGCATATCCTTTAGAGTATAAATACCAGAATTACACTTTTCATTTCGATAAACAGTTCCATCTCTGGCTCCAAAAGTGTTCAACTAGTTGAAATGTAGATACTGTATATTCCTCCCAGATTCCAAATACATGAAAAAGCAGCTTTGGGGATTTTTTTCAGCAAGATCTCATATTTTTAGACTCGGTTATTCCAGTGAGGTGTCCCCATCTTCAGGGCACAGATGCCTGTAGCTGGCTGTGGTACTGAGTCCTGCTGTGCAGGGCTGGGTGCTTTGTAGCCTGGTTTCACTCAGCTTCATCCCTGGCTGGGGTCTCTGTACAAATCACAAACGGGACAGGACTGCTCAGGAACGTGCCTTGAGCTGTTTTATTTTCCAGCATCGGTCTCATTACATGGCTATGACAATGGGAAGATGCCATCAGCTCACATCCCAGGCAGCAGACAAAAAACTTAATGTTACGACTTACTTTTTAAGTTTTTTGCCCAATCACACAAAGCAAAAGCATATTGACAGCAGTTCTATCCAACCACTATAAGCACAGGTACCTTTGGTTAAAACAATGCCTGCTTATTTCAAATACAATACCTGCTTGTAAGCCTTGAACACAATGCACAGAGCTCCTTTATTAAGCTTAGAACTTCCTAACATCTTGCTAGATAACTGTAGCTTAGGGAGTTATTCTAGACAAGTGTTAATGCACAGACCATTGTTCTATTTGTCCTTACTTTTCTACTACTTACTTAATTTTTCTGCTGACCTATCTCATAGCTACTGCTTAGCTCTAATCATAGTTCTGCTGTCCCTGAGGCCTGCCTTTTGCAGCTTTCCCAAAACCTTCTGATTTTATGGATTCCCACATTCCCCCTCTTGGTTCACCTGAAAAGAAACCTTTGTAACTGTGTCGTTTATTAACTACTTTGCCTTTCGTAGCCTTATTATAGTATATCTGCTTATTACTTAAAGCATCTTTTTATTCACACTAAGCATTGCTATATTACCACATGGCAATTTTAATGCTGTGGAAGTCCAGTCAGTTCAAGGGGCATAAGTCATGCCTGACAATAATTACAGGTTGTTGTTCGAAAAAGTCCTGTCGATTTCAAGGCCTGAATTCAAAACTTTCCTCCGTGTCTACACCTTCATCCACCATCTCTGTGAGATTTTGAGAACTCTGTGAATCCATTCCCTACCTCTCTCTCTTGTGTGATAAAAACTTCTTTGATAGTTTTGTCCATCATTTGTTGTACACACCAAAGTATGCAAGGTATTACTACTAATATAACTACCAAAACACCCAACACATAGAGACCTATCTTACAAACTTCTCTTAGCCAAGGTGCAAAGCTCCTTTCTTGGAACAAATCATCTAACTATGATCCACCATCTTCTTTAATTTGAGCTGTCAAATCATTCATGTTCTGTATGCTTTTGTGGATGGATTCAGAATGATCTGACAGGTTCATACAACACAATCCTTCAAATTTCTCACAACCATGTCCATGTGCCAGTAAAAGAAAATCAATTGCTGGGTAGCATGTGTAACACTATTAACATCTGTCAACATATCACTGATTGCAGTGGATGTGACATTAGCTTGTTTACTCAGCCAACATCCAACCCGATCCATTTGTTTCAATGCCATTGCTGAAGCCAGTTGGGGTAAAAACAAACCTGCTGAAACTCTTTTCAAAGCATTTCAAGGCATGAAATCTTACAGTTACACTCCATTATTTTAGCCATATTCCTTGGGTGCAGGGTCTCCTCTGGTGATCCCTGGAGGAGTGAGCTCCCTGTCCCAGGCCCTTTGGTGCCAGTGAAGGAATGGTCCCCCATTGCTGGTCTGGACCCACTGCTGATGAGTGTGACAGAAATAAGCAGACATGCAGGTACATTGGAAGGCACCCAGACTGCTCAGTTGGTCTTGACCTTAGCTAAATCTAGAGCTGGATTTAGGCAAAGTAAAAGGCAACATGCCTTGTGCTGTTCTTCATACTTGAATGTGGTTTGAGGCTGCGAGGGCAGGACACTTCTGGTCTGTGTGTCCCCTCTATGCCTTCTACAGAACAAGTCTGCAGGTGTAAAAGGTTACTGCCTGTGACACTTAAAAGACTTTGTGGCCAAGGGAAAATTTTCCAGTGCTCTGTGCCTGGCATGTCATTATTGTCCTTGTCTGTGCTGTGAAAGCAGTTTCCTTTCACTCACTTTCTCAACAAATGCCAGTGAAATATCCTCTTTTCTGAAAGTGTCAGCTTGCTGTCAGGTGACTCCCTGAGCAGTTTCCTCAAGTGACTAAAATCCCTCCTGAAGTTATTAGTTGTCTAGTTACCTCAGAGTGGAGCTCAGACTTAGGAAACTTTTTATTTTTCCTAAAGGAAAGGAGAAAGCAGACCTTTAATTAACTCCTGCTGCCAGTCACTGAAATTTTCATCTAAGTGGGAACAGGGGGATAATCATCTGCTGCATCTCTCTTTCCACCCTCCTAAGAAACTGAAACTGCAGTCTTGTCTGCAGGTGCTATGTGTTGGACTTGAAGACTTTGCAGCTGAAAGGAAACTGAGAGAGGTTTTTCAGAGCAATACTTGCTGTAACAATGTTCTGAAATTAAAGCAGCACGTTAACTTGGTGTTTCTCTCCATTTTTGGAATCTTTGAGGGGAACCAGAGTGTAGACACTGGGGGGTATTGTGGGATAGTCAAGTGACAAACTCACCATCATGAAGGGTATGCTGGACAAAAGAAATGCTGCAAGCTGGGAGGGCAGCAGGATTCACAGGCTGGATGGAGCAGTCTGGTTGTTCCCACCAAATATTTAAATGCTTCTGGGTTTCCAAACTGGATGTCATAGCTCCAGGTT